AACACAATTTAAGATAAAATCTTTAAAAATAACCAGATTACACTGATGTTCTATATTTGAATTACTTTTATAAGAGTATCAGCTTTGGTGTCAGGCTTGAATTTGAACCTTGAGTCTATCATTCAATATGTCATATATATAAATATATGTCCATATATGTATATATGGATAGATATTACCAAATTTCAAGGCACATAGTAAATTCTCAAATGTTAGCTATTATTTCTAATAAAAGCAGTGGTAGCTGCCATTTATAAATGCTTGCTATACATGCTTTATTGCATTTATTCTTTCTAATCATTCAATGAGTATTACCATCCCTATTTAATATATAGAGATACCAAGGTTCAGAAGAGGTTAAGAAACGTGGTCAAATCTGAACCCAGGTGTGTCAGAAGCCAAAGTACCAATGCTACTAACCACTAAATTGCTGTTTCTTAAAGTTGAGGTCCACTAAAAATACTTGTGGAATATGTGTGCGTGTTGAAAGTACAGGGATATCCATGAGTTTACTATGAGAATTTAACATTTTTCATGCTAATGAAAAATTAAATAATTAACATTCATGGATATTATCTTGATAATTGCCCTAAAAGCAAGTATTACCAGAATGTTTCAATGTCTAGGTTTGCATTAGTACTCACTTCCATGCTACAGTCCAGTTCTGCTTTAGTTGGAAAGGCTTAGGGAGAACACAGGCTGACTTAATTGGGAAATGATGCATTTATGTTAGATGGAGACCAAACAAAAGCACCATGTGCTGAACAAATGAAATAATCTGAAGAGAGAAAAATAGAGAGCCCTGAGTTATCACATAACATATGGTAGTATGTGCATGCTGAATGTAAAGGAATGTGTACTGTGGTATTCATTATCACAATCCCATTACAAGTGATGATTTTCATTTTGGCACAACACCATCCATCATATCTAATTAGAATTATTTTAAGTTTTACTAGTTTTTTTAAAAGTTTTGCCTGTACTGAATCTGTAAACATGGTTTTACACTTATGTGAAAGCAAGGTGTTTATAGCTAATTTTAGTTTATATACATAATTTAGAGAAAATTATAATAAATATAAGTGAAAACTGAACAGTTAAAAGAGATTTTTTTTCCTTATTAAAAGGGGGTGTGTATTACTCAAGAAGTTTGAGAAAGATTGTTGCATTCTGTACTGCTTGTATGTGTGGTCTTCATCAGGTCTTAACCTCTATTACCAACTACATCACAGGACCTGTAGAAGTATTAAAAGAAATTATGTATGCAAAGTAATCATAATAGTGATCTGAGTTTTGAAAGCAAAAGTTAAGATCTTGTCAACTAAAACACTTCTAGGTCCTCTTTGTTCAGCAGCAATTAAAATCATTTGCATATATGAAACTCTTAATTTTTCAGCAGATATGATCTGGCCTAATAATCATGGCTCAGTTCATGGTAACTGTGTGCTTATATTAACAAAACACATTACAAAAAAAGTGTATGTGTGTATAAAATCTTACTTTTACTGTTTGACAAAAATAACAGATCATATTAAATAGTCATGATTTTGTTAGTGTAATTCATGTAGAGTTACCTCTTTTTTCTTCTTGAACCCAGTGGTGATATACTTTTAAGTATATGCCATACTCAACATATTAAAAAAATGCTACTCTTGGGAATGTAGAAAATAAAGTCAACTAATATTCAAGAGAGCCACTAATATCTAAAGTTATCTTGATCCCATTTGTTCAAGGGCTAGTTTGGTAAGAATCAAATCTGAATTTTGCTGTTTTTTGCTCTATCTTTACATACAGACTACATAAGTCATACTTAAAGAATATAAAGCAAAGCAAATTACGTTTATATATATGTGTGTGTGTGTATGTATGTTTAGGACTACTAAGTAATACTTATCATCTCTGGGTTAATTTATAACGTGACCTCGACATAGACATAAGACAAATTCGTATGTTGAAGCTCTAGTCCCCAGTGTGATGGTATTTGGAGGTGGGGTCTTTGGGAAGTGATATGTCATGAGGGTGAGGACTTGTGAATAGAGAGGCAAGAAGTGATCTCTCTCTCTGCTACATAAAGATACAGCAAGGAGGAGGTTATTCATAAACCAGGAAGAGGGCTCTCACTTGGAACCAAACTGGATGGCCCTTTGGTCTTGACTTCCTAGCCTCCAAAACTGTGAGAAATAAATGTCTGCCTTTTAAGCTACTCAGTTCAGGGTTGCAGACAATCACAAACCAAGAGTGAATCACATTCTATGAGGCTAGTGCCAGTACAGCTGAAACACTCCTCTACATATTGATTATGATGAACATAAATTGAGAACTTCAACTGAAACTTGTCTGATTAGCTCCAACTTTAGGGAATGTAGACTAGTACAACCACTCTGGAAAAAAATTTGGAGGCTACTTAAAAAGCTGGACATCGATCTACCATTTGATCCAGCAATACCACTCTTGGGGATATACCCAAAAGACTGTTACTCCAGAGGCACCTGCACATCCATGTTTATTGCGGCACTATTCACAATAGCCAAGTTATGGAAACAGCCAAGATGCCCCAGCACTGATGAATGGATTAAGAAAATGTGGTATCTATACACAATGGAATTTTATGCAGCCATGAAGAACAAAATGTTATCATTCGCTGGTAAATGGATGGAATTGGAGAACATCATTCTGAGTGAGGTTAGCCTGGCCCAAAAGACCAAAAATCATATGTTCTCCCTCATATGTGGACATTAGATCAAGGGCAAACACAACAAGGGGATTGGACTATAAGCACATGATAAAAGCGAGAGCACACAAGGAAGGGGTGAGGATAGGTAAGACACCTAAAAAACTAGCTAGCATTTGTTGCCCTTAACGCAGAGAAACTAAAGCAGATACCTTAAAGCAACTGAGGCCAATAGGAAAAGGGGAACAGGTACTAGAGAAAAGGTTAGATCAAAAAGAATTAACCTAGAAGGTAACACCCACGCACAGGAAATCAATGTGAGTCAATGCCCTGTATAGCTATCCTTATCTCAACCAGCAAAAACCTTGTTCCTTCCTATTATTGCTTATACTCTCTCTACAACAAAATTAGAAATAAGGGCAAAATAGTTTCTGCTGGGTATTGAGCGGGGGGGAGAGGGAGGGTGGGGAGTGGGTGGTAAGGGAGGGGGTGGGGGCAGGGGGGAGAAATGAACCAAGCCTTGTATGCACATATGAATAATAGAAGAAAAATGAAAAAAAAAAAAGAAGTGTTTAAAAGTTACCTAACATACAATCAAATCTGCTGTTCCTAGAACCGTAATTCTTCTCCATGCACAATGTATTAGGAGAGACAGTGATTTTAAAGAGAAAACCATTACCTACAGTTTAATTATTAAACTAAGCAAATAAAAAAAAACAAAGACATGCCATGTTTTCTTACTAGTGATTATATTTATCTGTCTCTAGAAAAGGAAGGTATTATATCCTTTTTAGACTTTCATAAATTTGACAAAAAATCTGTACCCACTTTCCTACCAAAAGTAAGTAATAAATCCATTGTTGATTACTCTCAAAATAATATAGATGGATTCCTTTAAAAAGGAAGCATAAAAAGATGTCAGTGAAATCAGATACATGTTAAAGGCAAAAACCAAAATATACACTGAAGCAAAAATGTATTGTCTAAAAATCATATGCCAGCATGGGTTAATAAGTTGTCTTCAGCAGTTCAACTACATTTGACATGACCAAAGTTTAACTAGACTAAAGATTTGATGGTGCTTTGGATTAACATCAGATGCTAGTAATCATCTCCTCCCAGTCACCCCTTCATCCTCTAACATGTCTTGAAAATGGCATGTGTCATCCAGGCCATCCAACCTTCTGACAAAGGCACAAATACACTCAGTGTTATTTAATCATTTCAGTATAAATGTCACTATGTTTCCCCTCCAGGAATCTTCATTATGTAACACTATGAACAATTACAAAAGCATGATCTTGGTCCCATACCAAATTTATTTCACTGAGAAGAGTTGTTCTTATCTTTCTTTACTTATTAAATTATCAGTTGATTATGTATATAGTCCTATACATCAATTATAATAGAATCTCAGCACATACAGAATCCTGCATGTATTATTAACCATTAATATACTGGGATGAACAAAGCAAAGGAATATTCTTTCAGAATTATTGCACACAAGAAATTGTATATAGGCAGGCATGGTGATACATACCTGTATCCCAGTACCCTTGAGAAGGTGAGGCAGGAGTTTCACAAGTTTGAGGCCAGCCTGAGCCAAATAGCAAGACCCTGTCTCAAAAACAAAAATAACAATAAACAACAAAAAAAGGAAATTTTCTATATAAATCTGCTTCAAGTGGCTTAGTAGCTTGCAATATCTGTTATTTATAGTGGCAATGGTTCAGGATAGATGTCAATTCAAGGGAGCCAAGTCCAGCTTTATCAAAGTAATGTTGGCATATTGTTATAGCTGTTCTAAGGGAAAAGATACCTCAGATATGATCCAACAATTGGCTGTAGAAAGTGAAATGAAAATTCCAAATTTTTAAGGCTCAACAGGTTAAAGTAGAAGCTTAACACCTGATGTGTGACTGGCTGCCTGGATAAGGTGATTTAGAGAACATAGCAAGATACATGTCCTGATACATGTAAGCATACATAAGGAGTAAGTGGTTTTGATGACAAAGCAAATGTGTCCAATAGATGCAAAAAATAAGAATGCTTATTTTTTATATGGAAAATACAAAATGGGGTTGGCATAACTATCTGGTATTTTCTATCATAAAAGAAGGATGTTTCTTTTCTGTCCACTGAAGAATTAGTTTGGGCAAAGAGAAATGGGATCCTTAGAAGCATTGATCCTGAGCACATTCTTACAGACGTGTTCTACTTTTCCTTCTCCAGAACTGCAAATGTGTATGATGGGGTAGGAAGATGGAGGTGGATGGGCGTAGGAATCAAAAGAAATATGAAGACACCCAGATGGTAATGATAATGGCTTGACCTTAATTTGAGAAGAAATCTTTAAAATGGGTAACAGATGTCTCTCATTAAAGTACAGCACAGAGGGAAGAGAAAAGCAGAGGAAATTTTGGAAGTGAAGGAAGGAGGTCCTCAGAGTGGAGATTTTGCCCTAATGGCTCTTGTTCCCATTCTCCATCAAAAAAAAAAAATCATTCAAAAGGTGCCAAAGACTAAGGAGTACCTTGCAGCATTTCCTCATGTATATTTATCCCCATTTAAAAGGTAACTGAAGATACCCCACTGAGCAAACTCCCACACCATTTTTCATCCAAAGATACCCAAGCTCTTTTTAAATGTTATCTTCATGATACCTTTATGAAGGAGGTAGTATAATTCTAATTTTTACTCATAAGCAAGCTAAGGCACAAATAAGAGCCTGAGTGGCAAAAGTAGTCTGGAAAAAAAAGCAAATTATCGGGTCCTTGGATTTTTTTGGCTGTGACACACTTTCTTCATATTGATGTAGGCAACTCAAGAGATAGTGAGCCAAATAAAATCACTCAGATTGGAAGACAGCATACTCTCTAAGGGCTCCATGATAGAGTCCTGGGAGATACACTTCACTTAAGAGTGCCAGTAACATGCCCGCCTTTTGAATAAGGAGATCAAAAGGTCATGATCTCCTTGATTATTGGAAAAAGGTTTCCCCACACTTCTGAGATAACAATGGTGGCAATCTTAACAACAGTACTTAACTCTTAGTCTTAACTTGTGCAGTAAAATTACAAGTGCTACATTTGGCTATTGATTTTTATATTTTTGATCAGATATATTTCTATATACTTGGTCCTGGACAATTTTCTTATGTTAAGATCATATGTATAAAATGCAAATGGCATTATCACCAGGATCTGACACAAACATTGCATCCAGTCAGCATATGTTGGTTCAATGTATTTCGAGAAACACTTATTAAATACACAAAGGAAGCATGCAATGTCTAAGAGATGATGTGAACAATGCCGGTGGTCTGTGTAATGGAGAATCCAGTGTCCTTCAGGAAACTGAAGATACTCAAAAGTTGCTCCCCAGCGTCTATTAACAGCACTCTAAAAATGAACATTTCCATTTGATACAAATATACAAATTTAAAATATGTGCAGTTCAGAATGGCTTATCATTTTTAGATTGCTATGTGCCAGAAAATATATAGTCAATAAAAAAATACCAGAGAGGTGGGGACAAAAGGCTCTCTGGATCTGTACAGCAAAAATGAGTATCACTTCAACAGGTAGCAATTCGTGGCAGAAGTGGCATCCTTGCAATCAAGATGCACTGAAAGATGGAAGGTCACAAATCAGGTGATGGTGGATAAGATGTATAATAAGGCCCGTTTTCCTGTGGAAAGAAAAGACAAGAATATTAAGTAACACGAGCAATTTAACAGGGGATGTGAAAGAAAGGGACTCACGGTCAATGAGACAGTTTATGTAAAATGTCTAGCATGCGTTTTGCACTGAGCAGGCCCTCAGCTATTGACGTAGTTCTATTGGCATGAGGCAGAGTTAGTATAGAGTAAGTAGACAAAGAAGATGAAAATATATTTTAATAACAATACCAGTTACTAAAATAAAAATATATTTTAATAACTATACACCAGACTCTTTATAGGCTCCTTTTACCACCATCCCTTTAAATTCTCATACAGTACCACAAAGTAGGCAACATTCTCATTTTATAGAAGAGGAAAATGAAGATCACATAGATTATATTATTCACCTGAAGTCACCAAGCTAGTAAACAGCAGAGCCTGAATTTAAATCCAAATCTACTTCAATATAATACTGATTCTTTTTTTGTTACTGTGTTATCTTACTGTGTGCTGAATCTTCTTGTGGTTGCTGGGGACTGAGAGCCTTGTGCATGCTAGGCAGGTGCTGAGTGGAGTTACATTCCCAATTTCCAGACCTTGTTTTGTTTTCTGCTTATTCATTTGTTTTAAAAATACCAAACAGGGTCTTGCTATGTAGCTCAAGATGGTCTGAACTCACAATGTAGCCTAGACTGACCTTGAACCCTTGATCCTCCTGCTTCTGCCTCCCAAATGTTGAGATTACAGGCATGAGCCACCACACCCAGCCTGAATCTTATTATCGTTTTGAAACAACAACAAAAAATGATCTCTGAAGAATTTAATAACTGTAACTGTTTTGGCAGAAATGAGTCTTCATCATAGGCTGAGTGGTAACGCCTGTAACAATTACAATTCTTAGGAAATTTAGTTCCAAATCAAGATGAAAAAGTAAATGCTAAAACTTAATATCAAATGAAAAGGTCAATGTACCAGGGTAAGGGGAAATTTTTGGCATCCACTTTGACAAAGCGTAATAAAAATGACAGTTAACTTCATGGTAGAAGGATCCTAGATTAGGTTTGTGAGATTTAAGATTGATTTCTCATTTTTAAGGAAAGTATTTCTTTGCTAAAGAATAAAAATGTTTAGCATTTAAGTAAGAAAATAGTTAGGTATGAGTCTAAATGAGAAGGAGCTGTGATATTCTTTAGAGCAGACGCTCTGGACAGGGATTGGTCCAGGTGCCATAACCAGGAAAAGAAGAAGACAGGTTGTAAAACTTACTTTCTTATAATCTGACAAGGTATCAAAAAAAAAAATCCTAGAATTGGTTACACTTCTGGAAATATAGTAAGACCTCTCTTTTTTTTTTTTTCCCCATTTAGCACTCCCTATCAAGACCTTTGTCAGTAATCAATTCTGTACCTTCAATATACATGGAAGCTATGCTTAAAGAAACATGCCCCTAAGAGAGAAATCGATCCTAAAGTTCACCTGAAAAGCAATCGTTGACTCTCTGTCATTAAGGATTCTCTATTCAATTCTACTACCATATTCACCTAAGGCTCTCATATGTATACTGAATTTTGTGGTAAGGTAAGAAGAGCAAGTCTAGTATGTAATGTCCCAAAGCAGAGCTTATCTCACATTGTGGAAAGACTGCCAAGCAATTACAGAAATTTAAAGAATTATTGCCAGGTAATCTCTTCTTTTACTTATATTTGTAAGAATGCTGACTAGCCCCTTTTATGAAGTCGCCTCATTATTTTTGCCTAGAGATTAAAAAAAAAAAGCCAACTCTCTTATCATTTCTTTTCTTCAATCAGATTCTTAGTTCCTCCCATTAAAGGAACATGTTTCCTTACAAGGTAGCATCCATCCACCCTCTGGTATCTCTCCTCAACATCCCAGGGGCACCTCAAACCTGTGCTGCAGACTGAACAGACTCCTGTCCCTGCATCTAGTCCTTTAATACTTTTCCTTCATATTGCTTCTCTGGGTAATGGCAACACTACCCACAAAAATCAATGATTTCTACTTTACCTCAAATGGCTACTTAGCCTCCAAATGCTATCCATTTCTAAATATCTAAAATCTTCAAATCCTTGCCACTATCACTACCACTGTCCTAGCTGAGCTTAGGATTTCCTCTGGCTTCACTAACAAGACTTTTATCTTGTTCCTAAAGATGTATCCTTCTCCAGTCATTTTCTCTACTGTTTCTATCATCTTTCTACATAGCAATGCAATGCAGGTTCTCCTTTCAGAACACCCTCCACTAACTACCAAGCCAATCCTGAAGCACAATTAAAGTTCCAGTGTCTAACAATGTGCCCTGTCTGCCCACATCACCCAGTCACCTTTGCTTTCTTCCCCATTTTTATGGTTTTCTTTAGTCTTTGTATACAGATGGTCTAATATCTCAGTTTTAGAAAACTCTAGCATAAGTACAAAGATATAGCTTAAGGAGTCGATCATTAGCCTAGAGGTTCTATGTAATTTTGATTAATCATATTATTATGCCTGTATCTGATATACAAAAATATAACAGAAGCTAAAATAAATGTTAAAATAAAACAAAAAAACGCAACTCGAGTATAGTGGATTTAAAACTGTATTTCCAGAAAAAATTATGAATCCAGACACTAGCACTTAGTTGTCATTCTAAAATTTGGTATCACATTTCCTGCTACTTTTTTAAGGATTAAGAAGAGTATAGTTCAAAAGGCATAACAAGGAAGCCATTTTCTAAACTGATGTAGTTTTTCCCTTTCCCAAATAGTCAACAATCTTGGAATTTATGATCCAGCTTCTCCTATTGCACAAATCCTCTCTGTGCAACAGCCAAACATGAAATTTTATTCGCCATTAGAACATGTTAAACACTTTTCACATAAGAGGACAGAAGTCATAGTTGAAGTTACAGAAATGTTAGAGAGAAAACATGTTGCAGGATTTTTATTTGACTAGATACATGCTGCACACTAATTAGGAAAGAATAATTCATTTCAAATTTAATATAAATTTCAAATAGGCTTTGTGGTTCATGCATAAAGATGTGTAATCAGCAGCAGTTAAACAATGAGATGGATGAGCTTTTGTCCTAGTATGTTTTTTAATTATTAAGGTAACAGTGTGAGTAACACAATGGAATAGAACTTTGATGAAGTTCAAGCTCTTTGATTAGTGCTGAAGTAACAGATCTACAAATGTACCTAAAAATTGTAACCATGCTAGTATTGGTTAATGCTCTTAAAAACATTACACAGGGTTTTAGAAAAATACGTTTAGCAGGATAAAGACTGTAAGATAGGCTGAAAGAGATCATGAATCAATTCTGGAACATAGCTGTTCATGTAGCTGAGAAGCCATTCAATCTTAAGAAAATTAGGCAGAGGTATGTGTCTCAAATATGCAAACTGAGCATACAACCATTGATTGGCTTTAAACTCACAGCAGAAAAATCTCCCCTGAAATGTTTACCTGGGGAAAAAAAAATTCTCAGGACAAAGACTTTTCCTAAAGTTATCATAGAAAAAGAATATTAAATGATATTATAAAGCTTACTAAAATACACTAATTACATCAATCATACCTTGTAACAATCATACCTTTTTGTGTTCAGAGGGACTGCTAATATACTTTACAAGGTGAGGGAGAACTCCTAGTACTTACCCTGGCATCGTATTCAAGGACAAAAGGAGGAAAGTCGATCTGTTCTGGTGATATTGATGAAAACAGCTGGTTCAGGCTGTCCACATGGTGGATTTTGTCCTTCAGTCCTGAGACAGAAAAGGTGGTAAAAAACCATGTTGACACCTGATTAACAGAAGGGAAAAATAATTTAAGCAGTGGCCACAGTTAAAAATACAATTTTGAAAGTTTATACTAGATAAAAAGATTTCAAAACTGTATTTCGAAATCTTACAATAACCAGTGTTTTTCAAAGTGCAGTTTATAGTTCATCAGTGAGTAGTACAACTACTTTAATAGATTAAAGATCATTAAAAAAAGAAAAAGCAGAATTACCATGACTGGGGACTATAACAAAGACGAGTTCTTGCATCATCAAGGTTTTGTTTGTTCTATCTGTACACTCCCCGTTGTGTGCAGTGTGTTGTGAGGTAATGTACGTGCTGTTAAAACCACTACATTCTTTGGTGCAGCAACTGGTACAATTGGTGTGTGTACTTGTACTCTATATCCAAGTCTCACAAACACTTTTTAAATTTCCAAACGGGACTGAAAAATACTTCATCAATAATTTGGGACTAAGATATTTACATGTGACACTTGGCATGCAGTCTCTTTTCTTTAGTCATCAAAGTGAAGCACCTGCAGGTCCTGCAGATGCAGGACCACCTTTGTTCATCCACTTTACAAAATGGGTGAGTGCAAAATTTGTAAGTGTAAAAGAATTTCTGATAGGAAGCAATGCTGACATAAGGTAAGTAATAACTAGAACTTATATATTACCTATCTAAGCTGGCAGTCATAAATCAGCCCACGTTTACTAGCACATTACACCACAGTCCTGGAATAGCTTTGCTACTGTTGCCATTCCATTGTATTTACCTGCAACATGCTGCTGAGCTTTGGGTGCCTGGCATAACATGCTCCAAAGGGGTGTCACTTATTTACCCCAGATACCAAGCATTCTGCTAATTTCTTTTTGGCAGCCTATCATGTTCTTCAGTGGCTGTTCCAAACCTTGTATATATCCCCTTGACATTCCTCCTTAATATGACATACTTTCTTCATACTTGTGAGAAAAGGCACAGAATAACAAACAACTCTAAACTAAATTATCAGAATTCTATTCAAATTTCCTGTCTCAGTACAGTGTCACCTCTGCCAATATTTGTGTCTTACCGCTCCAAGCAAATTATCTCCACTCTTTAATCCTTATGATCTTGGGTTTAAATCTCACTTATAGAGATTTAGGAGACTTGTTTGCTAGCATTTCCATTACTCATAGTCGTTTCTATAATCTCCCCGGCACCTAGTAGACAATTCTAGAATGACAATGTAAAGTTCTGTGATCTATAGATAGAGCCAAGTTCTCAACTACTTGTTAAAACAGAATGAAGATAAGGCTTATTTTATAATGGCTGTTACATCCTGGGTCACTCTTCTGTGGCAGCTACACTACCACTGACTGGCCTCAAATATTAACACTGCTCTCTTACCCTTCTCCCCGCCCTTTTACCAAGTTTACTTGAGGAAGTAGTGGGGGTGGCAGTGAAGGTACTTGGCCAGTAATAGAACCAAGCAAATTTAAATAATTGCTGAATTACATACCAAAATCAGTTTGTTATTATATTCTTTACTGACAGAAATTTCTGTTAACTGGATTAATGCAATTCCAGATTAGGAGCTCCACAACTAATCACAGAAGCAGCTGGTAAATTAATAAAAGCTCTGAAGAGATCATGGAGGTTGCCGAGTAGTTCTATAAAGAGCCACAAATCAGACTATAACAGCAGAACAGAGAATGTGAAGGATGTGTTAGGAAATATATTTGTGTAAGAAGTTAAACATACACTGGTTGTTCATTGTGTGTTAAGCATTATACTGGGATTGCAGGTGATAAAAGATCTCAGTGATGTAGCCTTTCTTCTAAAAGGGGTTTGGATTCTAGTAGAGAGGTCAGATTGTAAGCAACTAATAACCTAATCATAATAACTACCTAAACCAAAACTTGCTAAATACAATGAATGCTTCCAAGAAAACACATGAATATCTATTATACGCAAGTAGTTCTACTACTTAGAAAAGGTGTAAAATTATGGAGATAAAAGGCTATGTAGGGAATCTTTATGTCACTGTTTTCTTCAGAACCATTTACATGCTGTTCTTGTAGTCCCTGACACCTTACCCTCGAATCTGCCTGGCCAATTGGTTTTCAGAGCTTAGATCACAATGGCCTATGTGAAGACTTTCTTTGACCACCCTCTACCCAAAGATGGAAAAAAAATGACAACAGAATTAAGTCTTCCAATCCACAGATAAAATATATGCCTCCATTTATTTAGGTCTCCTTTAGCTTCTCTAATCCATGCCTTAGTGTTCAAAACTGTAGAGTATACAAGTCTTCTACATCTCTTGTCAGATTTATCCCTAAGTACTTAATATTTGATGTTTGTAAAAAACACACAAAAAAGGACATTGCTTTTATTTTTATTTATTTTTTATTATTATTCATATGTGCATACAAGGCTTGGGTCATTTCTCCCCCCTGCCCCCACCCCCTCCCTTACCACCCACTCCGCCCCCTCCCTCTCCCCCCTACCCCCTCAATACCCAGCAGAAACTATTTTGCCCTTATTTCTAATTTTGTTGTAGAGAGAGTATAAGCCATAATAGGAAGGAACAAGGGTTTTTGCTGGTTGAGATAAGGATAGCTATACAGGGAGTTTACTCACATTAATTTCCTGTGCGTGTGTGTTACCTTCTAAGGACATTGCTTTTTAAATTCCTTGTGATTGCCTGCTGCTAATATATACATCAACTTTTGAATACTGGTTTGTATACCCTCAAACCTTGATCAAATTCACTCACTAGCTTTAGTAGTTTTTCTGTGAAAACCACATAGGGTTTTCCACACAGGCAATAGCATCATCTCTGAATAAGTTTTTATTTATTCCTTTCCAATCTAGAAGTATTTTGTTTCATTTTCTTGTCACACTGCACTGTTGAGAACTTTCAATGTAATGTTGAATAAAGAAGGTGAGAACAGACATCCTTTCAAGACATATGAAAGGCCGAGCTAAACCTTTGTCTCAATTAAAGAAAATGTTCAGTAGCTATTGGATGAATAACAACAAAAATGGATGATGGTATTTCAGGAAATAGTTAGGCACTACTTTTTTTTAAGGGTTATACAAAAAAGAATTAGTCACCTACTGAGAATAAAAAGATTATGGAAAAGTTAATAATATACATTATCTATAAAGATCTTATAATCAGAACTTAAAAAAGAGCAGAAAAAGCCCTTCACTTGATAAACCATTCATTGTTTTCTTTAAAGCCTGGTCAAACAGTATTCCCATATGCTTTTATTTTTTAAAAATTATTTTTAAATCGACACCTACTTTGGTATACCTTAAGTGACATTTGACATCTATTAGGCATACACCTATTATAATATACATATTTATGGGGTACAATGTCATGTTTAGATACATGTATTCATTGTGTAATGATCCAGAGTAATTAGCATATCCATCAATGAATGTGTTCATCTATAAGTGTAGTTTAGTCTTTACTGTGCTATTCCAACACTGACAGATCAAAAAGAAATTTGCAATTTTTAAAAGAATTAGTTGAAATATTTCATGCAAATTTTAAACTTGGCATTTGGATGAGAAATTCAGTAATTGTGTAAATAATGACAAATCCCATAGCAGAAATCACTTGCTTACTGAAGCTTTCACTCATCTCTTAATTATGAAATATAAAGAGAACTTTTCATACTTATATTACTGAATTTTTACAGTGCTTTAAAAATAATGACCGTTTCCACCATCTTTGATGCCTTCCTCTTTGTTAGCTTCCACAGTACTACTCTCTTAGTTTTCCCACTAGTTTTTAGATTATTTCTTGGTCTCCTTCTCTGATGCCAGGGATCTGTCTTTAGATGTCCTATTTGCTCTAAGTCTCTCTGTGATTTTATTCATTAACACATTTAAAGAGTAAAAGGCCATATTCACTTAATGGTGACTCTCAAATTTAAAGCTCAATCCATGGTCCCTACATATGACATGTAGGGGCCATGGATGACCTAGTCCTTTCTCTCACCATTATTCATCTAATATATCATTAAAATCCAAGTTTTTAATACCAAAAAGTCACCTTTTCTCTAAACTGAGTCATACACTGAGATTCTTTTTTTTGCTTTGCATTATTGTTGCCTAAACCAAGAGTTAGAAAATTTTTGCAAAGGAACAGTAAGTAAATATTTTAGGTTTCTTATAGTAACATTATAAGAAAAGTTCATGAGGCATGCCTAGAGCACTTGGAGCAGTGCACCACTCGAGGCAGGACAACATGAAAACTGATCTGGAGGCTGTTGTGTTATCCCGGATAAAAGATGATGGTGGGATGAACTAAAGTAGAGTGGAAACAAGAGATTTGAGCAATAGTAAGACACAGAGCTGATGCAATATGGAGTCATGAGACAGAGAACATACATAAGGATGCATCCCTGGCTTCTGGTTTAAGGCACCTGAATAGTAGTGATCCCATTTCCTAAGATGGGGAATCCTAAAAGCACTTTGGGAGTCAATGCAAAATTCTGTTTTAAAAATGCTGAACTTCAGGGGCCCATAAGACATCTACGTGAAGATATGTAGTTAGTAGTTCAATGGGAAGGTCTACAGCCTAGGAATAATATTATAGTTAATATATACTGAGTGCTCACTATATGATAACTAATGTTTTAAGCATTTCACGTGTATTAATTTACTTTATCCTTCTGATAACCCTATTTTATAGAGGATGAAATTAAAGCATAGGGAGGTTACTCTACTTGCTTGACATGATAAACCAGTGATTGGCAAAGCAGGGATTAAAAACTAGGTCACTTGGAAACCATGCTTCTAAACATTAGGCTTATTGTTTGCTCAAACAGATATTTGGGGAATGCCTATGTTTTGAAGAGTCATTGAAGACACAGAAATGAAAAAAGGAATAGGATGAAGGATAAGGGCAGAGATCTTAGGAATACTAATACTCAAAGGGTAAGAGGGCCCACAAAGGAGACAAAGGAGTAGCTATAAGCAGGACAGAAGCCAGGAAAGCTAAGTTTCAAGGAAACCAAGAGAAAGAATGACCAGCTGTCCACAGCTGCAGGGAAAGAAGGTAACATAAAGATAGAGTAAGTGTATTAGATTTAGTAACACAGATTATTAGTGTTTTTTGGTATGAACAGCTTCAGATGGCCTAGTGGGATTAAAACCAGATTGGAGTTTTCCAATCTCAGAAGGTGTATGAGAAATGGAGATGGTGAACAAACAGATTACATTAAAAAATTCTGGATGTAAAGGGGGGAGAGAAGTATTTTAAGTCAGACATAGTCATGCACACCTGTAATCTCACCTCTCAAGAGGCTGAGGGAAGAAAATCATGAGTTCAATACCAACCTGGGCTTGTGAAACCCTGTCTAAAAATAAAAGAGTTGGTGATTTAGATCTAGCAAAGTGGGAGAGGAGAAAGATACTAATTGCTGAAGAGAGGTTCCTAAGGAAATGAAAATATACTCTGTAATTAAAAGATTAAGATGCTTAGTGCAAATTCAGCCTTTGCTAGTAACTGTTGATTACAACCTTAATCAAAGCATCAATTCCCCTACCTGTAGGATGGGAATAGTACTACTCTCTACTTTCCAGATATACTGTGAGGCTTAAACAAAATAATGTGTGGGGAGAAAGGGCATATGGTAAATGCTCAAAGAAATGTTAGCTAATGCTAGTACTATAAGACCCAAAGTACAGGTAGAGGGACTGTCCTTCATTAAAAAGGAACACATTTTTGTGACAGAAAAAGGGCAGCAATGATAAGAACAGATGGCAGGTAAATTTGAGGTGGGAGGGCGAAGGCTTCTATTGATGGTTTCTATATTTTTGGATAAGAATGAAGCAAGGCTATTTGTCAATGAAACACTGAGGGATCTTTACCAGTGACAGCCCATGAGTCCACTGAAAGTGCCCTGGCCATATGATTTCTCCATTAGTGTTCCGCAACCCAGACACAGGAGAGAAGAAAGTACAATGATGGGTAACCTCAAGTTTAGGTTTTATGGCAGGTGTAATGAAAGAGTAAGAGGTAATGGTTTATTTAGGCATTGACAAGAGGGGCTGAAGTGATGGAATGTGGGTTTTAGTCTGGATAGGGAAAGAATGAAGGTAAGAATGATATTTTCAGGAAGAAGGGAAGGACCAGATTTGGTCCTCACTTGATAAAGTGAAAGTGAGGATTGGACACTGGGAATGTAATTGTGAGCAAGATAGCTACATCTAGTCCATATAGATCTGGTAGATTAGCATATAAGGCAGAAAATTAAGTAAGCAATTAGAATTAAAATGTAACAATGATAGAAGACTATGAAATCTTAAGGGGTATTCTGTGCATCTACTAGAAGCAAACACTGAGAAGTTAATGACTTGTAAGGGCTATCCACAGACACCAGAGTCACACATTACCAAAACATTAGGACCACAACTCAGGATCAATAAAAAAGGAAGGAAAAACAAACAAATCAGCAGTCACAATGGTGACAGCAACAATTAAGGTGCTGAAACACACTATAAAATTCTGAGCATGCAAGTACACTTAAATTCAAGATTTAGTCAAAAGAAAAATACTGTACCTTTGAACGAAATGTTGGATGAACAAAATAAACAGCCTTCAAATTCCTCTTGTACCTAATCGAAACATACAAATAAGGAGATCATATAAGTCATATCTAAAACCAGATAGCATTACATATGATTAACTTGTTGTTTGAATATATAAATATATTCACAGAGGAAAAATATTTTAAAAGCAATTGTAGTTTATGCATTGAATTTTAAGTGAAATGTCAAAAATAATTCAGAGGACATTTTGTAATTTAAATTGTCTATTTTATAGAAGATATTAATTGTTGGTTGTCATAGAGTTACCTCAGGGTAGGGCGTATTTAACAAATTTATGTGTTATTTTTATATTGTGATAGAATCTCTAGGATCTTATATTGTGATAGAATTAAGTCACAATAAAAAACACTTAAAATTATACCAAAAATTAGAAACTGAAAGTTTTAGTGGACATATTACATAAAAGTTTACTGTGAGCCAGGAATTGAATGAAGACGTCTCATGACAATTTTGAGATGAATACTATTATTGCCCCTACATTAACTTTCTCAAAGTCATCTGGCCAGCAAGTGGCACATGACTCCATAATCATGTTCTTCTCCACTATTATACCTAGCTTTTCCAGGTATACCTGAGATTTTTTTTATCAACAGTTCCAAGAATCACCATCAGCTCAGATGAGGTTAATTGGAAAGTACTCCAGATAAATAAACTCTTCCTTTCACACTAAGGTCTATTCCAGTTAAAGAGTGACAGATGTAGGAACATGGCGGAGTAAAACTTCCTTACATATATATAACCTACATTCAGAGCAAGCCAAACAGGCTTTCATTATTGGATAATGCAAGCAGCATTACTGCTAATCAAGATGAGATTTAAGGGGAAGAGTAAAACAGTTGGAAATTTATGGTAATTTACCTTCATTGTACTCTAACTATACAATGGGTTTTCAACATAATCCCTGAAGTCACTGCAATGTGCTACAAAAAAAAAAAAAAAAGGTAGAAGGAGGCAGAGTGCCATTTTTATTTAGGAATAATATTAATGAGAAAAAATGTAAAGCATTACACTTGACCTTGCTGTAATGCAGTGCCATAACCTACCAGTTGTACATTATGGTTTTTAATTTTCATTAAAGTCAGTAGTCTAAGTGAGTAGTCTGTTAAGTTCAAATTCTGTATTTACTGTTGAGACCCTGGGCAGCACTTTTTACCTTTCAGAATGTCATTATTCTCAAATCTTTCAAACACAGGTAGTATTTCTCCTAACAAACTCAAATTAAATAATGCATCTTAATGTCCAACACACTGTAAAAATAGAAGGTAGTATTTTTGTTTTTTTAAACATAAAGCCCCAGCCCTTTTCTAAAGTGTATAAAAGGGGGAGACTACATATGATTTACTTTACTGCAAAATAAGTTTGAGTTTAGGAGGATCTCCTATGATTAAAATATCTATGTATGATAAAAATCTTTGTTACATGAAATATCCTTTCATAGAATATTTAAGAATGCTTGCTTTGCTTAATATCAGAAAATAAAGCTATGCCTCCCTTCAAAATTTGCAACAATAACTAACTTGACATCAACAACATCGTAGAGTTTCTTCAGGAAGTCAGAGTCCAGGTGATTGTATTCGCTGGTCAGTGTGTGAAAATATACTAAGACATATTCCTTCACAGCAATGTGATCCATTACATGGATAAAATATAAGAGAGCCTAAAAGAAAAAGAAGAGTAAAGATCATTTTGCACAGTAGTCTATCTCACCAAGGCGAAGAGAGGGGAACCACCCACCCCCAAGATTAATCTAATCTATGCCTCAATCATTGCAGATGGACATGTCAGGTCAATGGGTATCAATTCTCTTCACAAAGGTCTCCATAAAGTGAATCATCCCAGTGTTTAGGATTTCTCACACATGATACTGTACAATCCCTTTCTGTTTTGTCCCAAGTGATGTTAGGGGATAATCAACCATTCTCATCTGAAATCATCTTCATATACCACGAAGAATTCTGGAGTTAGCTAATAGGTTTCCCCTCTCTAGGATAATGATATTAAAATTGTCAGAACCAGAATTTCTAAATTTTTAATAATTCTTCAGTTTCTGCTTGAATTCAAACAAAAATCTTTGCAATCTCTATTCAAATATACACTCGGGGCTCTAATAGTAACTCTACAGCCATCAAGGATTACTCAAAAAGGATATAATGGGAACTTCCTTATATGGCTTGCTTTAAGGGCTGATTTTCTGTCAGTAGAGGGACAATAAGCTAGGTAGCATTTTTAGAGCTCAGAAAGACTAACTTAATGTGATCCGGATTGGTTAGCGAGATCTTTCACTGCCAGAAATTTAAGAAAAACAGTAAAAGCAAAACAGATATACAATATAAGCAGGGCCAGTATGACCTCGTGGTTTAGCTATAAACAATTACAAAGAGGAAGCTAAGAGGTAACAATAGAAAGGCTGTTTTCCAACTCTTCCAGGTGTGTCCTTGGCATCAGCATGGATTAAGATCCAACTGCTACCCGGGCAGACAGAGGAGGATGTCAAGAAAACAATCTCTTTTTAGCTGTTACCTGGTCTGGACCTCATAGTATATCTCATTATTTTATATGAAATGATACATCATACTATCAGGAACACCATGCAAGTACACACCAAAATCAAATGATAAAACATTTTTCTATTGTATTCACCCATATGACCAAAATTTTTAAGGGTCACAAAACATTCTATATGTGGATATGTCATAATTAGCCAGGAAAGTTAAGCTTTAACTTTTTGTTATAAGTGACCCTGTGAGTAAGATACCAGGCTCACTGCTTTCAGATTTTTCCCCCCAAATACTGGTGACCCAAGAATCTGAGGGCTTAGTCAAAAATACTTATCAGCTTTAGTACAACTGTGTTTATTTCAAAATTGTGTGCAATTATGAATTTTCAGTTTTATAAATTTTATTATGATTATTAAATACTGACCAGTTGTAAGTTATTCTTCTTCTTTGCAGTTTCTAATAAAATTGATGTTCTAGAGTGATATGTATATTTATCTTGTGGACTCAATTGTCTTATGCATGAGTATTCCATTCTCACCAGTTTAAAGGCTTATGGCTGTTTCCATTCTTTGGATTATTTTCTTGGTTTAAATTTTCGGGAATGGAATTACTGGGTGAATGGGTGTGATCACTTTTAAAGTTTAATGCATCTGTGATGACAAGAATTATTATTTGCAAGTTCTTGCTAATTCTGAAGATGAAAAGAGACATTTTGACTCATTTTGTAAAAGTTTACTTATCAGGCTGAATATTTTATTTACCAATCGTAACTATTTTTGTCTCTTAGGAATCATCTACTTCTGTTCTTTGCCCCCAAACGAAGGGATTATGGAAATATACTATCTTGGCTAAACTACACCTTTGGTTTTTTCCTCTTCTCTGACTTTCCAAGAAAGGGTCAGAATTTGATTGTACAATTATACAGAATGATTCCAATTAACACTTGAGAGTTATATCATATTCTAAACAAAGCAGATTTTTTTTTTAAGATCATATTACAGCATTCTGGTACTTTTATTTCTTCTTCAGAGAAACAACTCCTAACTTAACAGAAATTATGCAAGCTTAATCTCAGGACCAGGGCTGTTATTCCACTAGAGCTATGCAATTTAGCCTCACTTCAGACTAATTTCCCACTTCATATTTATTTGTTTTTTGAATCAACATCATTTGTGAAACAGAACCTTCTCATGGCTTGGCTTACCTTGTCCATATCTATCAATGTTACAGGAATGTTTCTTCCAACTACCACCATCACTGTGCGACCACAGTTGTCTACACCTACAAACAGGAAATGCAGTCAGCACCCACAAACTTATTCCAGGAGCATTGTTTGCTCTGTGCTATGCCTGCATCAAAAATATTCCAAACACATTTAAAAGGCTGGAGCCAGAGTGTTTCTTATAGATTTTTTACTGTACAGAAAACAATTTTTCTTTATTTTTACCTTTTAAAAATGCTAAAAATGTTGTAAGCTTTATGAAATTTTGATCACTGCTCTGACTTTAAGATAAGATCTCACTGGATGTGGTGGTGCCTGTGATCCCAGTTACTTGGGAAGCAGAGGTAGGATGATCACAGCCCAAGTCTGGGCTCAGGCGGAAGCATGAGACCCTATCCGAAAAATAAATGAAAGCAAAAATGGCTGAAGTGTGACTCGAGTAACAGAACAATTGCCAGGCAAGCAGAGGCCCTGATTTCAAACCTTAGTACTCAAAAAAAGGATATCTTAAAGATTTTATTTGAAATTAGGGACAACCTGTAATCTTTTTATAAACAGCATTTAAATATGAAAATTGACAAATAGAGTCTGAAAAAGAAAATATAATAGACAAAGAGTGGGAATGCAGGAAATGTCACTGTTTCTATTATATATTTATATAAAGACTAAATTCTGTAATAGCAATTATATACTACTTTTAGAAGAAGAAAAGAATTCTAAAAGAAAACGTTCACTAGGAAGAAATTATATTGTCAATGTAAGACTATAATTTGAAAATATTACAGGTTGAGATGTTATTTTTAAGATCCTGATGATGGACAAACTGTCTACATGAGCACAAAAACATTTTATTCATAGATAGAATGGAGGTAATTAAAGAAAAATGTAGCCTCAAGAAACATGCTGGGTTTTTTTTCTCCTAGTGAAAGAATTAATTACCATGCATTTTAGGCTTACCTGTCTGGTATAAGGCTTTCAGAGATGCAATATCAGACAGATCCTCAGATCTTGCTTGACATAACCAGCGATTATAACTAGACAAATAAAGAATATAATCAACTCTTATAAATTAAGTTTGTAAACAGAATCCATTTTTAATATCTTTTCCTGACCCTAAATAACTGATGCTTCATTAAAATAAGGAAGCAGTTAAAGAGGCCATCTCACCATGCAGAATCTTATGTTATTGATAAAATAAACATATTAGTTAATGAGCCAAAGGTGTTCATACCACATGACTGAAAAAAATCCTTATGATCAAATGAAGACTATACAGATAAACAGTTAACATATTAAATATTCAAAATGACATTATTTAAAAATATTGTTCTCCTTTACTGCAAAATGCAAATAGAGAAAGCCTAAAACAATGTCAGATCTCCAAAACAGTTGTTCACTTATTCGACAAAGATTTTTTGGGTGCTTACTTTGTGATAGTTACTGAGACTATTACAGTGAATAGATAAGGGGGTTGCTGCCCTCAGGGAGTTCACTTTTCAGGGTAAAAACAGGTTAGGTGCTATACAGGTTATCTGGGACCACAGTAAACTAGGTAGTTTTATCTGGAAAGTCTGGCATATTTATTGGCTGGTTAAATAAAGTACATCACACAACTAAGGAAATGTAATTGGAAGTCTATTATGCACAGAATATAATCAGCAAGTGGCATACCTGCCAGTTTCACAGAAACTGGTATTGTTTATGAAAGACACAGTATTCTATTAGTTCTATAGATTGCCTTCTTAAAATTGGTAATTTGCCAATCTATGCAAATTGAAAAGTCAAAGACAATAGTTTTTCATTTTGGTTTAAAATGTAATTTGAAAGCCAAGAAAAACTGATGTTTTATAGTTTTCCCTAATTCATACACACGACTCCACATTTCAGTCATTTCCTGGATTTACACTAAATCTGCAATTCCATTGTTTTGTCTTTAAAATTTTTTTACTTTCTTGAACTGACACAAGTTGTATACATTTATATATATAAACTTGATTTTGAGATATACACACACACATTGTGGAATGGCTAAATCAAGCTAGTTAACGAATCTACTCACATACTTGTCATTCTTTTCTTTTTGTGTGGTGAGAACACTTTAAAAGCCTATTCAGCAATTTTCAAGCATATGAACATATGATACATTGTTATTAATTAGTCAGGCACCTCAGTACAATAAATTTCTTAAAATCATTCCTCCTAACCGAAATGTTGTACTCTTTGATAAACATCTCTCTCCAACCCCACTCCCCTACCTGGCCTCTGCAAATCACCATTTTATTCTCTGCTTCTATGGGTTCAACTTTTTTAGATTTCACATATGAGTGAATCATATGATATTTGTCTTTCTGTAATTAGTTTCTTTCACTTAACATAATGTCTTATATCTTTAGAATGAAGGTTAAAAGACAAAACATGTAAGTTAATACAACAAAAACAAAATGTGAGAGAGTAACAGTATAGAAGTTTATTTATTTTCTTAAGAATTCTACTCTTTTCTAGCTGTTTTATGATTAAGTCATCTTACAAGACTAAGCAGAAAACACATCTACATATACTGAATTAATGAATGAGTGATCCTAACACAAAACATACACAGTGACCCCTTAGCATCAAGGGGAAGTGGTTTAAGGACCAAAATGGTGAATGCTCAAGTTCCTTGTTTAAAATGGTGTAGTATACACATGTACCCCATGCACATCTTCTTGTACACTTTTAAACCATCAATTATTTACAATACAATGTAAATGCTATGAAGTTATTATACTGTATTTTAAAATTAGCATTATTTTTAGCTATTGCATTGTTATTTAAAATTTTTGTTGAACATTTTCTATACATGGTTGATTGAACCCACAAATGCAGAATTTGTGGATACAAAGAACTGATAATTAACAAGAATTTGGTAAATTCCTATTAATTTCTAAACTCTGTTCACGTATCCATTAGCTCTTTTTTCAAAGACTTATTGCATAAAAGCAATGCTTGCATCATAAAAGGGGTTCAAATTTTTTTTTTTTTTTTGTGGTACTGGGGCTTGAACTCAGGGCTCTGTGCCTGCCAGATAGGCACTGTACAGCTTGAGCCATGTCTCCAGCCTGGGACTCAAATCTTTACTGAATGAAATAATGGGTGTGAATATTGTGCCAGGTATGTTGGGGACCTGAGATGAATAAAAAGACTCTTGGCTTCACAGAGTTTAAGGCTGAATATATTTAATGAGACACATATTAAAAAGATAATTTTGTAATAAGACAGAAATAGACAAGCAAGCCAAAGAAGTGTAGATATTCTTATCAATCAAATGTGTATTCTGAGAAGAGGACCGGTGGGGGTTGAGGGACAGGTTAAGGAGGAATGGAGACAAGTGTCAGATAATTCTGTAGAAATAACTACTTCTTTCTTTGTATCCCAAAATTTCAACCCTTTTCAGTACTCTACCACTTGAGCCACACCCCTGGCCCCTTTGCTTTAGTTATTTGTGAGACAGGGTCTCAAATTTATGCTCAGATTGGCTTGAACAATGATTGTCCTATTTGTGCCTTCCATGTGACAGGCCACAGCTTTTTTATTGGTTGAGAAGGGGTATTTTATTTTATTGGTTGAAATGGGAGCTTTTTGCTCAGGCTGGCCTTGAACCACAATTCTCTTGCTCTTTGCCTCCCAAATAGGTAGGATTACAAGTGTGAGCCATTGTGCCCAGCCATAATTAACTATTTTTAACGCAATCATAAATTCCCCCAAACCTACCACCTAAAACAAAAACTAGCACCTTCACAATTGCCTACATCTCATCACAGTTTTGTTCTCCTCCAAGTCTAACCCCTTCTTCTTCCAATATCATGTAGAATCTCAGGTTTATTATTTCTTTGCTTTCCTTTTTATATTGTTTTAGTTAATGTAATAAATCATCTTTTAGTGACTTGTAACTCTTTCAAAAGGTTTATGCTGCATGTAATCTTTTGGGTTTTACTCTAGACATTTCATATTGCTAGCATTCACCTAACGCCCTGGGTTTCAATGTTGCACATTAATTTGGACTATAATATATGATGTATTCCTCCTATAGCAAGATGCAATCCTTTTTCATCCACTCTCTCACTGGTGGGCACCTGGGCTGTTCCCAGGTTTTTGATGTTGTGAACAGTGCTTCAACTCCTTGTCTTACATGCCTTTTGGTACATGTGCTTGATTTCTCTTGAGATACCTACGAAGGACAGTGCTAGATTTTAGGGTGTGTTCAGTTTTAGGAAAAAAAGCCAAATCTTTTTCAGAAGCACTGCACCTGTTTATACTGCTGTACTCAGTGAATGAGATCCTGTGAATCCAGGTCCTCTTTCATGCTTGATTTTACCAGGTGTTTTAACTTTTTCCAACCAGTTAGGTTTAAAATGGCATCTCATTTCTCGGGTTACTATTGAGACTAAAATCTTGTTTGCTTTTTCCTAGTCTGTGAGAAGACTGTCCGTAAAGCTCACCTGTTTTTTTCTATCATTCTGTTTGTTCTTTTCTTATTGATTTGTAGTTCTTTACACATTTTTGGCACCCATCACTTGCCAGTTGTGTGTATTAAGAACACCTGCTCCTATTCTTTAACTTTCTTTTCCCTTTCTTTAAATTTCTTGGCTCCACTTTCTAAAGTTCTTAATTTTAATATATTTAAAACTACTTCTTTTTGTATAGTCAATGCTTTCTATGTTTGTCTAAAAATTTCTCTAACTTCACTGGTGGAGTGGATCAAGTGGTAGGAGTGCTTGCATAGCAAGCGTGAGGCCCTGTGTTCAAACCTCAGCACCACCAAAAAAAAAAGAAGAGAAAAAATTTCTCTAGCTTCTGTCATTTTAATTCTTTTCTCCTGTGCTGGAATGAAACGCAGGTCCTCATAAATGTTAGGCAAACACTGTACCACTGAGCCATACCCCCAATTCTGAGCTTCCATTTTTAAGTTCTTAATCCGTTTTTCATTTTAGGTTCTTAATTCATCTAAAATTCATTTTAATTCATAGTATAAGCCCTGCAATAGTATAAACTTACATGTTTTTTAATCTTGATCAGTGATTTAATAACTTGAGATCATCCATGGATAGATTTTGATTGGCAAAATGTACACGAACAGGTTTATGGAGAAAAAGTTTCTAGATCATGTGTGATTCTTGAAGGGTTCATGACTTTAAAAGGCTTGAATCACTGCTGAGATACTGGCTGTGCTGGATTCTAAGAACCTTAAGGTGAATTTCAGTGCAAGTATGACTGTAACAACCACCATATTTCTTCTTTATTCTGGTTAAGTCTTCTCCATTCCCACTACAGTTTGTGCAAATTTGATTATCTAGTCACTTTTTTTTCTTTGTTTGTTGTAAATCAGTAGTTGGGAGGATGGAGTAAAAGAAAGATGTTATTCTTATCTCCTCACTAAAAAGAAAGACAATGCTTTCCTTTTTTTTTTTCCCATCTAAACTTCATTACAAAAAGAATATTTTAGATTTTGAATTATATCTCCTAAAAACCCACACCTCATTTTTTGCCGAGGCCAGCCTCTGCCTGTAATCCTCCTACTGCTTCTTCCCAAGTAGCTGGGATTATAGGTGTGCAACCACCATATCCAGCCTGAGATTAAAAAATTTAACATTTGTTCAACTTGATTTACTAACAAAGAAAATCAAACTCAATGTGTGAAAATAAAGCCTGGCTTAGAAAAAGCAAGAGAAATAACTTAAATATATCCTTTAATCTCAAACATGGTAGTGTATACAAAACAGATGACTTACAGCTCAGTTATATAAATGCCAAAATATTCAGTTATCAATTCAATTACTTTTTGGGTTTAGACTCTTTTATGTTTTAAAAACTTATTAAGGACCTTAAAAGCCCTTTGTTTGTCAGTTATAGTTGCTAATATTTACCATATTAGAAATTAAAACAGAAATTTAAAAAGTATTTACTTATTAATTTAAAAACAAGAAATGTATTATGAGAACATAACTTTTTTTAAATGAAAAAAAGCTGTGTTTAAAAACTCTTTTAGTTTTGCAAATCTCTTTACTTTCTGCTTCTGCATTTGATGTACTGCAGTATCACGTTAAGTAGCCTCCAGAAAACTTCACTGGATACTGTGAGAGAACGAAAGGGAAAATAAGTCTTAGGAACATGAACATGGTTTTGCCTCACAGGCCTTCTGAAAGGGTACCAGGTTCTCCACACCATGCTTTTGGGAAGCACTGTTATCACTGTTAAAGTACAGTTAAAGTACCAGGTAAAAGTACACTGTTAAAGTACCAGGTTCCCACACCATGCTTTTGGGAAGCACTGTTATCACTGTTAAAGTACAGTAAGGAGACCATTGGTGAGGGAACGTTTCTGAACTAGGAAGCTTTACATAGCCACAATGATATTTTACTATCAAGCTTTCCTTTGAGAAAAAAACAACTAAACTAAGTTTCAGACAATCACAAACAGCCAAGTAACTGGATCTTACCCAAATAAGGCAAATGCCTAGTTTTAAGTCAATCACATAATTTGCTTTGCTTCCACATTCTAAAAGCCTGCTGCTCATACTGCTAGAGCAAAGCTTGCCGAACCATTCTTGATTTTGTATGTTGCCTGAATTATGAATCCTTCTTTCCTCAAATGAACTGTTAAATTTATTTTGTCTAAAGTGTTTCTTTTAACAGCACTCTGAAGTACTCTGCATAAGATAAGACCTCATCTTCAATCATAACAGAAGCAGGGCACATAAATACAAATCAGAAAATCTTCTGATTCAGGTATGGCTTATTCTTCAAGGGAACTGAATGACAGTCAGCCTGTTTCTTGCTGTAGGTTTTGGGAGCCACAGCTATGTTGCATCCAAGTGCTAACTGGATGTGCACAATACCCTGACTATAGTCCAGGATATCTGCCTCAAAATTTCTCAGTACCTCTAATATCTGAAGGTGGCATGGCTCACTTGAACTTCCAGAAGATAGGGAATACCTTATGTAAGTCTGTATCAGGTAGAATATGTGACCAGTGTTTCCTGAACCAAATTGAAAAAGTCATTGTGTAATATATTTGGCTGTCCAGATCAAGGCTTTCCACCAGTACAAAGGAATTGTTTTATACACTGTATTTATATTCCTTCCTCAAATCTACCCCTTTTCTAATGACTCCCTTGCAGAAAGTAGGTACTTAAGAAATACATTTTAAGCTTATCCTACATAAAGGACACAAAGGAGTCATCTATAAAATTTAGAAGGAAGATTCCTGAGCTGTTCCCAGGCTCACAGATTTTAAACAAGTGCTCCTAGTGATTTTAATGCTGACATATTGTGATCCCCACTTTCACAAACTGTACCAGGTGATCACCAAAGTTCCTTGCAACTATAAGTACTGTTAGAGACCACAGAGCAGTGGTTTAAAAGTATGGCTGCAGAACTCCAAAGAGGACCAGGAAACTACTGGGTGTTGTAAAATCAAAATTACTTTCATAACAATACTAACACAGTATTTGCTTTTTGTGCTGACATTTGCACTGATGGTACAAAAACAACTGTAGGTAAAAATGGCTGCTATCAGCCTTGGCATCAGTCATGGCAGCAGCACCAAACTGTAGTAGCAGTTATAGGGGAAGAAAGACATGAAGAATGTCTTTGAGGAAGAAATATAAAATATTAATTTTATTAAATCAATCCTTGAGAATACATTTTTTAAGAATAATGTGACAAAATGAGAAGATCACAAAGTACTTCTAGATACTGAGGTCTAATGTGGTTTTCTGAACTGTCGGCTGAACTACAACTTATTCCATCAGTTTCGAATGCTGATAGGAGAATTTAGCTGTCTTCTACTAAGTCAAACATGAAAAAAGATTTCCAAGATTTTAAAAGATACAAGAGTGCTATTCTAATTAAAAATCAGCTATCCTTTGAAAAAACTACGATGGGTTATTTTTAAATGAATTAGTAAATAATTTCTATTATGGCAATAGATATAAACCCATGTAAACAAAAGCTCTTTGAAGTTCTTAACAATTTTTAACAGTGCAAAGGGAATCTGAGACTAAGAAGTTTGAGAACCACTAGTAATATACAAACCATGATGTGAACATGTAGAAACATCTATTGATAGATACATGGATATTATCAGTCATGTGAGGGGAAGCCTAGCCACTATATCCAAAGAAAAATGTCTACCAGGTGATTCTTACACCCAGTCAAGTTTAGAAACCAGTAAGGCTATCATTTGATTGTGACTTCATCCTTTGGAAAAGCTGTTTGTTGGTGCCCCCTAGTGAAAAATTTGTTTTTAAAAAAATAAAATCAGAAAAAAGTAAAAACCTGGAACTGAGGAGACTCAAAGGACTCTAGAGATTATCTAGTCAAACCCATTTTATAACTGGAGACTGACAACATCCAAACATCATTAGAAAACAGTAGAATGGATGCATGTAGTGTTTTGGTTAAGTACAGAGTATAAAAAGAGCATACAGGAGGAAACATCTATTCCACACTTGAAAGATAAATTCCCAGAGGTTTCTTAACTGAAACCTGGAGAACGGATAGGACTGCAGGATGTGAATATTCCAGCCAAAAGGGATGGGAAATACCAAAGCTCACAGGGAAAACAGACCATGACTTGTCCAGTACTGAAGAGAATAGCAGCGACCAATTTTTAAGCTTGACAATATCAGGCACTATGCTAAACTTGCTACAATATCTCTTTTTAAAATTTTTTATTAGGATATATTCATTATATGGGGAGGTTCATAGTGACAATTCCAATTAGATTTATATTGTAAATTAGTTACACTACTCCACTGTCTCTCCCCCTCAGCCCCTCCCCCACTTAAAGCAATTGCAAGAAGTTTCTTAGTTCTGCTTCACATAGTTATATGAAGTCCATCTACTATATACCGTCACCTTAATCACCTTCCTTCATCCTCCCTCCTCCTACTAGTACCCCCTCCACACACATTGTACCTATTTTAAAGTCTTGGTTTCGTTATTAATATTTAAGTTGATGTTCAAAGGGGTGTCTCAATGTATGCCCACTGTGAGTGTACTTTACTTTGGTCCATTTAACCCCTTCCATTATTCTCCCTTACCCCTTCACCTCCCACCCCCCCTTTCCAACAGCTTTCAATACACATCCTCATATCCTCTACCTTCAGATCTTATGGTCTACAACATTACTGATGCTGTATCATTCTCTTTTCCTCTCCCTTTTTCCTTAGTTCCATACTGTAGTTCCACTGTTACATACATGTTCTACATCTGAGTTTATATATGACCATGCTTGTTTTTGTGTACATATTTAAAACTCACAGCCCTAGGAGATGTTACCCATTTAAAAGCCCTATAAGGTAATGGAGAGTAGCCATTTATAGTTTATTTTTTCTTTAAAATATTTGGAAAAGCAGCTCCTTTCCTAAGACTGTTAATTTTTGGAAAAGCATAACCAAAAGTATAAAAGCTGCAACTCTGGTTTTAGGAGGATTTATTCGGAACTGCTTTAGAAGAACTTGGAAAAAAACAGAATGGGTCAGGTGTTTGTGAAGTCCTTGGGATAAGCTGGGGAGAAATATAACTTTTAAATTGAATAAAACTTTAATTGCACTAGTTATAAACACAGTAAAAACCTGTAACCACATTTCCCTAATTTTTATCTTTAGAATATAACCTCACATGGAGTCATGGCAATTAGAGTAGACAGGGCAGGAATTCTGAAAGTAGGCATGCATCTGAATACTGGCTTCACCACACATTAACTGTGACCACTGAAGAGTGATTCAACTTTCAGTTCTGCATTCACAAAATGGGGACACTATTTTCCTCACTGATTGTCATGAAGAACAAATGAGAACACACAATGTATGTATATAAATCATTCAGCAGATGTCAGGTCCCTTTTTTGTTTTTCATCTCCTAATGTGTCTAACAGTCCAAAGAGGTTTGTCTTACTTTCTTTGATGCTGCTTCTGTAGAGCTGCCTCAGACAGTTGACCCTGAAGGATCAGTTTTCTTTGCTTATCAATATCTCCTTCCATTCGAGCAAAAGCATGAGAGCCAATGAAAGAAATATCAACTCCCAAGCCTTCACCCTCCTCTTCTTGGTTGTCTGCAACAAAAATACTAGTATCAACAGAAAGCTAATGACAAAACCAAATAGTAATAAAACAGACAGAGTGCTGCAGCAGGAATGAATGAGGTAACTCAAAAGAACTGGAGTTAAGGTTAGTTTTTGAGAATGAAACTGAAACAATATTTAGGAATTTGTAGAACTGAAATAATGAAAGACACGTGTGACAAGTTTTCAAAATATGAACTCAAACTAAGATAAACCAGGTGTAACCTTAGGAAAAAAGAAGTGGAGTGAAACTATAAGCAGAAAGACTAAAGTAATCAGACTGTATATGGGTTTAAAGACAACCCATGGCAAATCAATTAACAAAAGTACACAGAACAAATGCTTGGGACCATTTATTTAGCACTGTTTAAGGAGGGAGCATTTGACTGATTGGCACCTAAACTCCAGCCTTTGTCAGATAAGGCCCTAAGGAAGATGGATAGACAGTCAGGGATCACGGTTATGATCCACGTTCATTAAGAAGTATTTCCATTGTAAATTAATTGTCATCCTGGTTTTCTATACTGCTCATACTAACATAATCACTTTGTGTGTAAGAACAGATCATTTCTTAAGTGTGAAGGCCACTGCCTTGATAGACCTGTTAACAACAAAAAACAGACACAGAAGAACAAAGCCTGGACCATGGAGAACTTTTAAGGAAATACTACCACTTGAACACAGCCTGGTAGACATGTCTACTTCACTGCTACTCAAATTATAACAGGCCAACAGCTTGGAAGGGCTGGTTTTCATTAAAAATTGCCCATGAATGAATTTTTCCTCAACTCCTCAAGCAAAGACACATATACACATGCACACTATTCTAATTGAACATATTTATGAACACTAAGACTCATAAGAACATTTTCTGAGCTATAACTACAAATCAAGCCTTGTTCACAGGGTACCTTTTGGCTAACAAGTTGGTCTTACCTGATGCCCAGAATTGCCACTTCAAATTGTTTTTGCTGTTTGTTACTCCTTGTTACATTAAATGTATTTCACAGAGGAAAAATTATATACTGTAGTGGTGGCAGCAAGCACGAGGACTTCCTAGTATCTCTGGCATTATTTCAAAGATCTCTACTGGAGGTTCCCCATGGTTTAGGGCTACCTTCCCAGCAAGGCTTGCCACACAAACATTTCCTGATCTCAGGCTATTTATAATTCCCTCAACTTGACATATGTTTGTCTATTGATAATAGTAATATTTTAACTTGGTGCTCATTTTTTTCCTTTTTTGGCAGCATTGGGGATTGAGCTTAGGACTTTGAACTTAGGCAAGAGTGTTACCAGTTGAGCCACACCCCTGTTTCTTTTGCTTCTAGTTTGTTTTTCAGACAGTCTCTAGCTATCTTTGTCTGAGCTGACCTCTAGCCATGATCCTTCTCTTTCTGTTTCCTGAATAGCTGGGATTACAGGCACGTAACCACTCCCGGCCCACTTGGTGCTTACTTTTCAAAGAAGTTTCACAATAGGAATTTCACAATAATTCCCTAAGCTTCTAGATTTCAAGATCAGGTGGAAGTGTGTGAGGCGTGTCTCCACAGAAGGAATTTAGGACCTTATACACACATAGATGTGAAAATTGGTATAGCTTCATACTGATCAGATTCAAAAGGGCTCACATCCTAACACATTCTTCAACCTAACACTACTTCAACCTACATTAATATAGAACCTAAAGAAATAAAATGAATGGTTGTATTATTATTGTCTTACTACTTAATGTTACAAATGGCTTTTAGAGGATGCTGTTGAAGCTGCTTAAAATTTCAGATGACAATATACTTGACTACTGCCTCAATGGTGTCCTGCATGAGACTATAAACTTCATTTGCTGACGGATGTTGTTATATCCACTTCTGAATTTCCACTGTCTAACACAGACTTGTCATGATATCTGTCTACCTATTTACCTACCTACAGACTATAATGGCTCATAATTTGAAGACTAAATCTTGGTAAGAATAGCACTCTCACTTCTAAACTGGGTCTTGATCACAGAGTTATGCTAAGGTCAAGGTGACTGGTATTTCAATACCTTAGCTTCCTTCAAACCAATTTTAAGAAAGGTAGGACTCTAGAACTCACCCTCAGGAGCACCGGGTTTCTCACTGATTCTAATCTGCCGTTCAGGCACCACAGGCTCTCCTTCTGCATTTCCAATATCTGAAGGTAGGTATGGCAATGATCGACTCTCCTCCTTTAATGACCTTGGGAAGTATAGAGGTAGCAGCTTTTGGTAAGTAGCCTGTGTCAGAAAAGGAAGGCATTCTGTGAAAAATAATGCAGGAATGAAGCAGCCTGAGCAGGGCTTAGTGCTGTCAACACATTATGAGGAATAAAGACCTTACTGCTTCAAGGCTCAGACTGCATGCTGTCTGGTACCTTCAATCACTTCTGGTGTTAAAGATCAGGAAGCTGCTAGCTAGCAAAGTGAAATGAGATGCCAACCCTGGCCCACTCACAGAACCTGGAATGCATAGGTCCCGCCACTCCTGCCCCAGTCCTACCTTTGCTTGCTAGAAATACCTGTCTTTCAAGACTCAGCTCAGATGCCATTAGCCTCCACTGGTCCCAGGTTTGGTTCTCAAATTTTGTTTTGTTTAACATTTCTAACTATTTGTGAGGGATTTCTATTTCATGACTTTTATTCTTTCTTAGAAGTTTTTCAAAGAACAAGGATAAATTTTATGTCTTTTTTTTTTTTTTCGTGGTACTGGGGTTTGAACTCAGGGCTTTATGCTTGCCATGTAGCACTCTACTGCTTGAGTCACACCTCTGGCTAAAATTTTACTTTTTAAGTAAAAGACAGAATACAGCTTATTCTATTTTATAACTTCCATATGAGTTGGTCCACTGAATTCATTTATAAACTCATGGTAGTTTACAGGCATTTAGTGTTCTTATTTGTCCTATATCTTGAAATAGTTTGCTTTTCATCATCCTAGGAATTATTTTATCATTATTCAATATTATTCATCAATTATTTTAAATGATACTAAAAAAACTAAATTAAAACAGTGAGAAAACAAAGGAATAATGGAAATGCCTAGAACAATGAATACATCAAAGAAACCATTGTCCTTTGATTTTCTTATTGGGTTGCACACAGGTCTGAAACATCTTCTAAGCAGGTATATAAAACTGGAGAGGAAAATTTTAGTCCCCCCAACCAAAAAAAAAAAAAAAAAAAACAGGTATCACTTATGTATCATATCACTTACATATCATAACCCTTTGAAAATACAGAATTCAGTGGTTGTTAACTTATTCGTAAAGCTGTAAGATCACCGCCACTGTCTAATTCCACACCACTTTCATCAACCCCAACCCATCAGTTATCATTCCTTAGTACTCCTTCCCTGGTCCCTGGATGCTACCAATATTCCTGTCTCTATGGTCTGGGAATTTTGTCAAAATGGAATACAATTTGTGGCCTTTGTATTGGGTTTCTTTCATTTAGCATGTTTTACAGGTTCACCTTGTTGTATCATCAATACTTTAGTCCTTTTGTATGGATGAATAAAATATTTTATTATAACTACATTTTGATTTTTTTATATACATACAGATGTATATACTGCATTTTAAAATTTTTTCAACTCAAATTTGAGTTGTTTCTACTTTTTGCCTTTTATGAATAATGCTGCCATGAATATTCATCTAGAAATTTTTGTGTGGACATGCTTTTAATTGTTTGTACCTCAGAGTGAAATCTGCTGCACTGTATGGTAACTCTATGTTTAACTTCTTAAGGAACTGGCAGACTGTCGTCCCAATGTGCAGCGGCATCTCACTGTTATTTGTGTCTCTGTAATGGTCAAAGTCATGGAGCATCTTATACTGTTTACTGGTCATCTGTGTATCTTCTTTGAAGCAACGTGTAATCCCATGTTTTGTTTTTCCCTATTCTCTGTATTTTGTGATATTTTCACATCTTAAAAAGCTTCCTGGCTAGGAAAGACTGCTACTTCCAGCACCAGCTAATTCCTAAAGACAGCAAACAACTTACTTCAGAATACATCTTGTCTGTGCAAACTAACCAACCCTATTCCTATTTTTTCCTTCCTTATTTTACCAAGGTCCCAAGAGGTTAAGTAACTTGCTCAAGCATATAAAACTGAGAAATACTAGAAACTGAGTTGAGCAGAGCACAGTAAGGGTAAATAAAGCTGTATAAAAATAAAGACCCGATTTTTTAAAAATGACTGAATTCAACTGAAACATACTAGACCTAATTATGCACAATAAACCAGAGAAACCTCACACTCAGCTCCAAGCTAGGCTGTCATCTATTTCTAGGTCAGGCAGACACCAAAACTTCCCCAGCACAGCAGCAGTTTTCCAGCAATGCTGTACTCAGGTTCCAAAGTCACACCTTGAGTGCTAACGCAAGCAGAAATGCGTTTGGCAAGATTTCACTTATAGTGACACCAGCTAAGCAGTAAAGTTATGAGTAAAACGTTCCTTTTTGACTTTTTTTAGTTCCTAAAATAAATTTTTTTCAATGAATAAGTTTAAGTCTCCCTGTGAAAAACATACATAGATAACTAGGCCTTGTCTGCTAGAAATTTGCTAATAGACAATGATGAGACAAAAGCAAACACAGGTGAAAATAAGATTTAAACAATGCAAATGGGCAAAAATGCAATGGGCAAAATACCTCTTCAAGTTCAGAGACAGCAAATACTACTTTTTCAATGGTTTCCCCATGAATCTCTAGGAATCTCCTTACAGTACCTGAGGAAGAGAATGAAAGAGTATTCAGTAAGAAATTGATGTGTAAAGAAAAATCAAATTCTTGAATGTTTTAATTTTGAAGTGGAGCACTCCTCATTTTATTCAGGCCTCTGTTCAATGACCCTTATCAGAGAAGCCAGCCCAGGCTACTACCTTTTAGAAAGTCTCCCTTCTGTCCTGTTTTCCTCCAGAGCAATTATTAGACATTTTACAGGAGTGCCTTGTTTATGTCATGTCTTCTCTCCCCTCAGGACTCATCCACCAGCTTGACAGTTCACAAAAGCAGAAGCTTTATTATACTTACTGCTCTATTTCCAGAACATGTAACAGTGACTAGTCATAGAAGACTTCAAATCACTCTCCCTTGTTCAGCATATACCTCTTATTCCCTAGGACATCTTTCTTATAACCCAGCACAGTATCTTTCCATTCCTTCAGTTACAGCACTGCATGCCCTACACAGCATTCATCCCCTCACAAAAACACACAAAACCAAAATGAAATTTTTTTTCTCAATCTCTACATTATCTTGACTGTAATTCCTCTTAACAAGAGGAATTAACAATTCCTAACTTACTTCAGAGCTTTTTTTTTTATGCTCACACCCTCACCTTTTAAAAATGTCCTTGGGGGTTCTGCCTGCAACACTTTTTCTTTGCTTGATCATTAGCTCACTAACTTGCAGAATGGGTTTTATGCCATCAAATCTTTATATATATTGTTTTCTGAACAAACGATCTGAATTATCTCCTGGGCATATCTGCCCAGACAATCTACAGAGAGCTCAAACTCGCTATGTTTAAAACTGACCCCAAGAGGCCCAAATCCTGATCTTCCTTTTTCTCCCTTGCCTTCTTTATCTCAGTTACATATCAACATCCAACCAGTCACCCACGCTTGAATTCTGAATTTGCTTTGACACTTTCTCATTTCTTCCTTTATTTTCAAGTGGTTCCCATAATCTGTTTCATTTCCAAGTGTGCATATTCTTGTTGCTTGAGCTATCTTCTTATGTACCTTCCTGTTGAATACCTGTAACGAATTATTCTGCACTGCTTATAGATTAAGATTCAAAGTCCCTACCATGACTCTCCACACTCTGATCCCAACTGATCACTTACCCACTCTATTGATTAGTCCTATTTCCAGTCATTTTCCCTACATATTATGCTTTAGCCAAATCTGACTCTGTTGTACTCAAAAACATGTTTTTTAAAAAAAAAATCAGAATACCACTGAGCCACATCATTCTTTTCTCTTAGTAAACCCTCATTTTTCAAGACCCAATCCAAAACTATCTCCTTTGTGCAGAACTCCATCCTTCCCTGTGCTCCTCCTATACAGATCACCTTTATTTATATTGGTTTAAGGTAGATTTAGGAGTTTTCAAATTTACAATGAGTGGATTGGGACATAACCCAATCATAAGTCAAGAAGCATGTATAATCTTTTGAACTTCCTTCTGTTGGTAAAATTCCTACAGCATTTTATAGCTAGACTGTAGGCTTTTTGAAGATCAAGTATATTTTACATCAATAATACATTAATTAAGCCCTAGCAGACCTTAAGGATGTGACATGTAATCAGTCAAAAGTAACTAGAACTAAATTAACAATTTAATGGCTATATGCATATTATCTGCCTTGGTCAACACGGTATTTCAAGAATCTTATAGAGCAGACCCACTTGTTGAAGGATCAAATATACATTTGTAACTCTCCCTCTGTTACCTAACAAATTTATTTTTCATTTCTCCTTCTATTCTGCTTTAATACTTTTTTCTTACAAACTGAACTTTCCAAAAGGGATTTTCTTTTATCCTGTTATTTTTACATTAAAATTTAATATTTAAAAGTTCTCAGCATACAACTGGTATTTCCTTTGGAAGATAAAATACAATGCCAAATAGTAACCAAACCTAATTCCTTCACAACAGAGTTCATTTAGAAAAGTAATTCTGTCAAGAGGGAATAACAAGATTGATCTCATGACTCTAAAGTTCAAGTTCTAACTACTGGCCCATACTGCTCCTTTCAGTTTCTTCTGTGTGCTATTCTCTGCAACCAATCAAAATGTCATGTCCTAACACTGAGGGAGTGAATACTCTTTAAATGGTGAGAATGACATCTGGGACTTAAAATCTCCCACATGGAAACACAATGAGGACAAAGACCTTCATCTTTTTTCTTACCACTGTATCTTCTTGTATACAGCACAGAGCCTAGCACATAGTAGTCACTCAAATTTTTGATGAATGAGTAAATAACCTGATAAATTTATTTCAATGTGGATGTTTCTTTAGGCTTTTTCTGGAGAAGAAATGAACTGCACATGAACTAAGAAAAAAAAGATAAAAAGTCTTGATACATCTATCAAGAAGATACTACTTAGGTTTTCAAATGAAATAGATTCTGTTAATAGTTTAATAAATAAGAAAGATTTTGATACTAAGGACTTAAGAGTTACATCATTAGATTTATTCCTGGCCCATATATGCTACAAATATGCATAAGCTATTTGTTTTTCAAATGTTTGAGAAAGTATTCAAGCAAAGTGCATGGTTATTTCTGTATTTTTAAAAATGAGATGCTATTGTTTAACTATTATATTTCAGATGTAATAAAGTCAAATGGGCCTTACCCAATATAAATTAATTTGCCTACCTTAAGAGCTATATACTTCCTTTTTGCCCATTAAATTTCCACAGATTGCTTTATTAAAGTCCCCTATTCCCACTATTGATCTTTATTTGCTATTCTAAATTACTCCCAAAGTTGAGGATGGGGTATCATTAGCCAGTGAAAGAATGCTGTGGGACCCTTTATTCGGAACAATGTACATAAATAGGAATTTGCATGCTATTTCAAGAGATCATGCAGCTTCTACATGAATATTCCTAATGAAAAAGAAATTCACTACAGTACTTTTGTTACAAACAGTTCTATATCAAATGGGACTAAAATCCCTTGTAACTAGGCCTTAGATCTTGCTTGTTAGCTGGCATTCTTGTCTATAAGCCTTACAAAAACCTGTAAACTTTCATAAATTCTGTATTTATGAACATGATTCTGGAAAAAGGGTCCACAGTGTTCTTTCCCTGAGAGTTCAATGTTGTTTATGATGATACCCCATACCTGCAAAGAACCACTGCTCAAAAAATGCAACACAGATTGAGGCCATGTTGAGCCCCTGTCAGGTATTTGAAGTCAGGCATCATATTTATTAAAAGCATGTTCTTTTAACTAAAAGCATTAATGTTTCGAGCTATTTGCCCTCTAGTTTTTCAGTGTCTCATAAGCTGTGATATGCAGAACTATACAGAAGACTCAAAATGTGGTCTGAACTTGTACATAATACACTGTTACCACAGACTGCTGAGTTCAGTACCATTATTTTTTTCTTTGGTGCTGGGGATTGAGTCCCAGCATCATGTATTCTAAGCACACATTCTACCACTGAACTACAGCCCAGCCCAACATTGTACTTTCATATCACATGTATAACATTTTGGTTCAGAATGATTGGACCCAGTCTTTTAAAACCCAAATGCAGAGATCTATATGCAACTAGCACAAATGAAATGTGCTGTCTAAAATGCAAAGTGCTACACAAATATGACATTTCTATGAAAACTGTTTTGACTGCTTTGATGCAACTTGTTAAGATTATTCTGAATTCTGATTCTTCTACCCAACAGGAGAACCCAGTAGGCCATACTTCCTAGTTTGGAATCACTTTCAAATTTAATAAGCAAGACTTCTAAGCCACAATTAAAATAGATAAAAATATCAACCTGAGAAAGTAAATTGCGAGCTCTGCAATCTGTCAACAGAAACTTCCCTCCAGGGTGACAAAGTCAATTAATCAATGAATCTTCTTTGGCTGCAACTATTTATCTAGTGATCCAAAAATTTTAAAGACTTGATTTATATTTAGCATCTCAATATTACTTACGAAGTGCTATGTGTGTTGCATCTTCTAGAGGATAACCTCGTTTTGCAGAATTGATGACACAGAATCCAACAGAAGACATTGACTGCTCTCTGCAATCAAACAAGATACACAAAAGTTGCACTACAAACATATATGATACATACATAATACATAATTAATTTGAAAATACAAATGAACTTCTCATTCCCAGTCTCTCAACAAATTTACTTTAACAGTTAACCCAATTACAGTATTTGATAACTTTATTAGTATATAACTTAATTACACTCCTTGGAGGATAAATTATATCTATCTGGGATATCTATCTATCTATCTATCTATCTATCATCTAGCTATAAAAAGAGAGGAAGAGAGAAACATGAAAGATTTAATAATAGGAATAGGTTAAATTCTCAAGTCAACTGTTATTTGTCCTGTTTATATATTAGTAATTTTATCCTCAACGACTCCTAAAAGATCTAAGTCCCTCAAAATTTGATTGCTATAGTTAGGTTTCATCTTCAAAGTCAGGGCCCTTAACACTGTATGGAGCACTGTGTGCAGGAAATGAGCAGACCGTACTTTGCCAGCTGAAGCGCATTTCTGTAGCAGCTGTATAGGGAACTCTCAGCTGCAGTGCGATAGCGGCTCTTGTACTTAGGGCCCACAGTGTGAATGATGAACCGGGCAGCTAGATTAAATCCTTTTGTTAATTTTGCTTCACCTGTTCGGCAACCTGGAACAAAGGAAACGTCCGTAAATCTGAAAGTATTAGGAAAAAGCAAAAACTCCAAGCATAAAACAGAGAAAGTGTTAAGAACTTTGAGACATTTCAGTTAAAAATATGAACTGAACACAAGTATTCATCTTTCTTCCTTTTCTTTTCAAAATGATGGTGAAAGAAAAAGGTACAAAGAAAATGGGAGGGTCATGAAGCAGAGAAGCATTATCAGCGTTTTGGAAGGCAGAAAGTCAGTGGATTAGGGATAACTGATTTAGCAAGAAGAGAAAATTGCTTGTAGAAATGGGTAAGCAATGTGAAGCAAGCTGGTCTGTACTGAAAGGCAATGATATCAGATTCAGAACAGACTGCTTTGATTCAAATCCTGAGTCCACAGGATCCTGTTGTGTCACTGTGGTGGACACTTGCCCTCACCATGCTTTGATTTCCTACTTAAGGAAGATAATGCTAGTAACTTTCTCAGGATTAAATGAATGAATATATGCCAGTGGACACTGCATTAGCTATTATGGTTGTTGTGATTTCTGGAGAACACTAGAAAGGTTCAAAAACTGCAGGTCCTAAGTACTTCTACAGGTTATGCTGTGAAGTGGGACTGAAAAGGGAGGGCTAGGGTTACAAGTTTGTATAAAATCAGTCAAATCCTAACAATCTCTTCCAGCCAACACAACAAGGTGTTGACTTCTTTGCCACCACAGCAGCAAGGAGGAAGATTCTTCTTGGGTGAGGCTAACTAGAGCTCCTGGACTCCAGAATCCTAGGCATAGCTAAAAAGAGGGGACTTAGTTAAATGTCATAGTAGTCAAAAAAAGTTTAGCCTTCTGCCCCTATCTGATTTTTAATATGACACCAGGCTTCTACCCCTGAGGAATTCCTTTCTGGAGAATTAAAAGGTCCAACTCAAGGAGCTACAGATTCTGATAACTGTAGAAAGTACCCCAATAAAACCACATGGTACTACTATTCTATCACTGCTTCAAGATCTACTGAGCAATACCTTTGATCACTGTTAATGGACTAAATGCTTATATACCTCTCAAAATTGTACACTGAAACTCTGAAATAAATATGTTGTTGAGAAACCACCCATTTATGGGACTTTGCTACAGTAGCATGAAGAGATTAAGACACCCAGGAACATAAAGCTTCTCAGTAGCTTTCCAGTTTCTCCCTCTCAAATATGGCCAACACTTAAAGATCAACAGGAAGTGAGGAAAGCCTCAAACTAAAACAAAGGGGAAGAAACAAACAAATGCTCAAGAAACAATACAGGAAGGAAACTTAAAAAACACTACTCTCATAGAGGTAAGAGAAGTCATAGCACTCTGAATCAAAACCAGAATGTGTTTTATACATATTCTTTTGTATATATAAAGAATACTAACAGAAGGGGAAATAGTACTTATATACTATATATTATAGTCATGTGAAAACTCTAATGGCAGAAATGGTCAATAGAATGACCAAAACTGAAGTTGAGGAAATCATCCAGAAAGTTAAACAAAAAGAAAAATAAGAGCTAAAGAAAGTTGGAAGATTAAACAAGAAAGTATAACATCCAGCAGCATTCACAGAATATAGAAAAAAGGAACCAAAAGACATGCTTCTAGGCTCAAAGTACCCAAATATATGAAAGGACACTACTATGAAATTTCAAAACATTAGAAAAAAGGGTGAGATTTTAAAAAAAAGCTTCCAGGAAGAAACTGATAGCATACAACAAATACAACGCAGCAATGTCATCAAAATCCTGGAAAACGATTTCCAAAGCAGAATTCTAATTTCAACCAAATTACCAACTAAGTATGAACTCAGTAATTTAGGAGGGCACCAAGTAAAACAAGGCATGATACCTAGGAAATGGGGGATCCAACTCAAATTGGGGATTTCCCATGATGTTAAAAGTAGTTCCTGGACAATAAATATGGAGCAGTCTAGAAAGAACTGGGATAATGGATGGTTCCAGGAGAAACCTTATCAGGAAAAAATGAACTGAAGAAAAACTACAATGTTTGACTTTAGTAAAGGGAGACTTACACTTATCCTAAAACTTTGAGGTTGAATCAGTGATAGGTACATAAAAAAGTATTTACATAAAAAAACCAAATTAACTAATAAACTAGAGGAAAAGCTTACATAAAGAATACTAATCTATTTGCTAATCGGCTGTGAGCAATTTTATGCAGTCTCAATGTTAATGCTGAATATTGAATATAAATTGTGATGGAGAAATTTGGGAGGACGGGAAGGGGGAAGAAAATGTGATTATCATATGTATATATAAAAGGAAGGAGTGAATGGAAGAATTTAATATTTCATTTCCATAGTAAGAAGTCAACAGATAAAGGTTTGAAATTATTTGCCCCTTAGAGAAACAGGACTTGAGTTAGTGAGGAGCAGATGATTGTTTTTTTTCTTCAAAAACTGTGATATAAAATTCTTTGACTTTTAAAACTGTATACATTGAACAGTGGGAATTTATAAGAACAAAATGATAAAAAAGAGAAGTCTAGGAAAAAACTCACCTGTCACTATCTGAGGCAACTAATAAATTCTTTAATTTGAAAACTAGTAATCAAACCAATTAAGCATTTATCTTTTCTTATCCAACAGAAACTCTAATTCAGAGTAATCAAATAACACTAGTTATTTAGGAAAATCTCTTCCTTATAGAAAAATACTAGCTAATAAACCTGGATGAAATAGTAGGTCTTAAAAAACAAAATTTAATGCCTTAAACTTATGAGTAAGGAAAATAACGATTCGGGGTGACGCCCGAATCCTCACTGCTAATGTGAGACGAATTTTTGAGCGGGTAAAGGTTGTCCCTAAGGTGACCCGCCTACTTTGCGGGATGCCTGGGTGTAGCGATTTGCCCGTAAAAAAAAAAAAAAAAAAACAAAATTTAATAATCTTAATGAAAGTATGGACTTTAACAGGGATTATTAATTTAGTGCTAAAACCATCAGGTGAATATGTGACAGGGAAATGAATGTTCAGAGAATCTAAATAGATTACCGTTCAGACACAAAGGGTGAAACATAACTGCATAAATGGAAGGATTAAACTGTCATTATCCCAATCCAGGGATTACACTTTACTATCAGTAAATTAGGATTTATATATCTTCTAATATAACATGAAGCAAACAACACTACAGTATCCTCTATGAGAGGCTTTAGCCAAAACTTAATTCTATTAGACAAAACTTCCAGTTTGTAAGACATATAGACTAAATGGCACCTCAAGTAATTCAGACAAATCTAGAAGGTGGAATGACTTAGAAAACACCTGGCTCTGTGCACTCAACCAGTGTCATTAAAAAGGAACTGTCCTGGATTAAACACACACAGGGTAATGGGCAGAACAGCAAAATGAAATGTGTGGGCCAGGAGTGAATATGAGTTTGGATAAAATAGCTGAAAAGGACATTTCTGGTTCAATTGGAAACTTTAACTATGGTCTGGGTATCAGATATTATTTCTAAATCGAAAGATATAATTCATTTGCTGAAGAAAGCAAGTTGTTCTACTCTGAGAACAGTACATATATTATTTTACTTCGATTACAAAAACTATATAATATATATATGTGAATGTACAGAAAGATTCAGGATATGTACTAAAATGTTAACACTGGTGATCTGTGAGTGGTGGAAATGTTAAATTTTTAGCTATTGTTAGCTTGTGTGTATATACTTTTTCTACAGTTTCCATACACTGCTTCTATAACTAAAAATGATTATTTAGAATAACATATTTAGATTACACTATTGTAACATTTATAACGCATCTGTATTATTTTGATTAAAAATAAAACAGGAAACAAGCAGACAGTTTGTTGAAAATAGTCCTGGAGATCTCTCACATTGGTGTTCAAAAAAAGAAAAAAAGTTCGAGTATTATGAATACTCTGTTCTTGTTATGACACTTTTCCTTTAATAAATGTTCACAGGAATCCTGGATGCTGGAGATGAGTTATGGTCAGTACTGCTGTGCTACTTCCCAACCTTTCACTTGTTCTAGTCCAAATTTCTTCTAATCCTAAATCTCGAATCCTGATCATTGTTGTAAACATTTAAAACAGAAGTCCTCAAAGTATTTTTACTTCCTGAAAGTAAATACAAATCCACTTAAATAAGTTTCCCCTCTGTCCAGTGTGACTTTTACCCTTGACTACATGCTTTGTTTAGGAGCATGCTGCACATTTTCAACTTCACTTATTCTGCTCACTTACCCCAAGTGTGTGGTAAATGGATTTTAAAAAAGGAAGAGAAAATGTCACAATGGTGGGATCCAAGATGGCAACTAGAGTGCAGAAGCAGACAGCGTGAGCTCTGTAAATCAAAAATCTTGCTGAGACACTGGAGCCACACTTGGCAGAAAAAAAAAAAAAAGCACCAAGAAGAATCAAAACTTCAACACCCTGAACCCCCAGCCCATACAAAGCTTCTCCATGCCATGTTACACTGAGAAAACAGGAGGGATCCTGCGCCACCAGACGCCAGCTCCAAAACTGCTCAGGAGACATCCGGCAGACCAACAGGTGAGCACCAAATGTCACATGGTATTCCCACAGACACCCCTGGGATAAACTAGCATAGCCCCCTGGACAGACTGACCCCCCCCGACCCACAAAAATATCCCCCAAACTGAATAATAAACAAGGAACTGAAAAAGAACATGCAGCAGATGGGGCGGGGTGCTGTAAGCACACTGGAGAAGGGGGGAAGAGCAAGGAGCTGATCTCCATGCGAACTTTCGGTAAACAAAGACTGGACAGGCAGAAGGGCTGACAGTGGGCTGGTGATAAGCCACTGCCTGAAATAGGGCAGGTAGCGGTCCACAAAGCTCTTCTCCTGAGCCAGTGAGCAACATCCAAAGTCAAATGGATGCTGCAAAATTGAAAAACAATCAGCAAACCATCATAACACACTGACAGCAGGGAGCCGGCTGACAGATCTCTGACCTTGGTCCAGAGAAAGGGGTGAAGCA